AAATCTGCAGACTTCCACCAAAATTTTCAGCAGAAATAGCAAAAAACATCTGCAGATTCCTCCTGGCCCTAGTTATGATATATTAAATGTGGTGTACAGTGTGACATTTTAGTTGACAAAACTTAGTTTAATTTGCATGTAATGTGGTATCTGAAGATTAGACATATATTTAGATACACATTTATACTAACACAATGATACTAAAAACCAAAAAAAAAAAAAAAAAAAACATTCATTATAATTTCACAAGGAATTTAACTTTCAAATGGCTTTTCTGAAAATTAGTGCTCAGACACACTCTTTAAGTTTAAATTAAATTACACACTTTAGCTAGGCACTTGCATAACACATACTCCAGTTATATGTCATGAAACAAATAATTTATATTTGTGGTAATATGAACTGCTGCAATGCTAATCTTTCTCCTTTTGGTTTCTTGCTTTAATTAAGGGTTCCCACTACAAGAATTAGATTTGGCTACTGCAGTCCCGGTTTGGGCCAGCCTCACTTGTGAAGACTAAAGATGAAGACAACATACAAGAACAATTTAGAGGATGGCAACACACTTTTTATTCCACCTATATATCCCCTTTTATGTGTAAGCAACATTCCACAAGATAAAACAAAACTAAATGACAGGTTATATCTTTTAATTTTATCTGTTTTCTTGGAACATTGTACACAATTTACAACCAGTTTATATATATATATATATAGGTCAGAGCAAGAAAATGTTATGTTTTCTTCTGGAGAAAGTCTTATTTCTTTTATTTATATTTTAGTTTTGAATTAAAAAAAAAAAACATTTTAAGGTCAATATTATCAGCCTCTTTAAGCAATTTTTTTCGACTGTCTACAGAACAAACCATCGATATACAATAACTTGCCTAATTACTCTAACCTGCCTAGTTAAGCTAATTAACCTAGTTAAGCCTCTAAATGTCACTTTAAGCTGTATAGAAGTGTCTTGAAGAATATCTAGTCAAATATTATTTACTCAGTTATTAGAAATGAGTTATTAAAACTATTGTGATTAGAAATGTGTTAAAAAATATTTCCGTTAAACAGAAATTAAGGGATTATATATATATATATATATATATATATATATATATATATATATATAATCCCTTAATTTCTGTTTAACGGAAATATTTTTATATACAATATATATATATATATATATATATATATATATATATATATATATAATGACAAAATCTGTTTTGTGTCGTGCATTAGAGTTTGCTTAAAAAAACTGGTTATCTCTGAGAAAGTATTGTTATTTTATATTATTGATGTGTTATTAGTTCATAGGAGATTGCAAATTGTTGAATGCCATTTATAAAAACAATTGTACTACAGACTTTAATAAGATTTTATCAGACAATTATTTTAATTTGTATGATTTTATTTACTACTGTAAATATTGTTTGCTTGGTATTTATTTTGTGTTTGTGTACTCTTTTATTATTGTAACTCCCTGAAGAAAGTCTTTTGGATACTGAACACATGACTGGAATTATCTTGTATTTTAAAATTATAGTCTTGGAAACATGCATTTTCTTTAACACTATTTAAGAAATTATAAGCATTATAACATGTGCTTACACACGTTATTTGTGTTTTTACTATAGTAAACTATAGTCACCCTTAGTGTACATGTTTTGAAGTACTTGTAAATATTCCTATGGTCTTAATATAAATGCTGCAATGAACTTTGTATATAAAATCTTTATTGCACAGTAGCTTAGCCATGGTTATAGTACAACTTGTTGGTTTTGTTTTAAACGTGGTGGTTATGTGTGATAAAAGTATGTTAATCTATTTGTATGTTTGTGAAAATATTAATAAATCTTCAACTGTTATTGAGAGTGGTGTGTCGTGTTTATTATAAATAAGCAGCTGCTGCAGCTAGTGGTCCATAAGTATGAGCAAAACGCCTGAGAACAGCGCCTCTGCGGCGCGGCCGGTATTTCCGGTTGCATCGTCCTAACATCGGCCGGACAGCGTTTCCGATCATTTGCCGACGTCGCGGCGACATTTTGCCAATTAGCAAACGCTCTCTGAGCGACATCGCACCGATGGAATTTTGAAAATCGGCACGACGTCGGCCCAACGTATGTGTGCTGTCTGGGTTTAGGATAAGAGGAGTGTGAGTTATTGCCACCTATCATTGAATGTGAATATCGAAAACAAAACCAACTTAGCTTAACTCCTTTACCGCCCCTCACACAGCTTGATCCACACTGGCATTTCTCCTCTTGGGCTTTGGTTTTGAAAAGGGAAAAAATCCCACCACCCAGTCCAAACTTTTAGGATAGCGGGTGTCAGATTTTCACAATCCAATTGCGCAACGATTTGGCTTGTTTCCCTCGCTCGAAAGCTTGACAGAGCCTCTGCCCGTAGCTACGATTGGTAAGCCGCGATTGGTGGGTGGCGGTTTTTGGGCGTGGCTTAGCGAAGGGTCAGTTTAACAGGAGGATCCCGTGAGAGCAAAAGCACTAAAGGTATGAGACGCCATCGTAAACAAAAGTCAAGCGAACGCAAAGAGACTGAATGCACGAGAGAGAGAGAGAGAGAGGTGTATGTTGTATGTGAGAGAGAGAGAGAGAGAGAGAGAGCGAGTATTGGCACGCGAGTATTGGCTCGATCTCAAGTTCAAATTCAAATTCTCTCTGCGTTAGCTTGACTTTTGTCCACTCCGGCGCCTCATAGTAGTCACGTTGGATACTGTCGAATCAAAACAATCTACCGTGCTTCGATTGGACGTCATGCCGAAAGCGCGCATGCTCACACACACGCGCGCGCATGCTGTCACACACACGCACACATAAACGGGGAGAGAGAGAGAGCGGTCCATGTCAACATACTTTTTTATCGTTGGGCTTTTCATGGGAAGCAGCAAGTCTTTACAAGTCAATAGGGGCAAGTCCTAGTCAAAGTCCAAGTCATTTATGTTCAAGTCCAAGTCGAGTTGCAAGTCTTTTTATATTTTGTCAAGTCGAGTCTAAAGTCATCAAATTCATGACTCGAGTCTGACTCGAGTCCAAGTCACATGACTCGAGTCCACACCTCTGCCTCATCCTGGAGAACCAATGTTCCTAAGAGTTTGGCTCACAGCTGCCCACACATCTGCTTGATAGCTTCAGGTCGTTGATCGGCAGGTATAACTGTGCTGGACTGGAACTGGAGTCAAAATGCAATCAGGACTAGATGGCATCCAATACTGCAAAGAAGTATGTTAATAGCATAAACACAAAGTTTAAAAAGATGATGTCATTTTTTTTTCAGCAAGCAAAGACTAACAACGAGTCAGTGCAGAACCAATAATCTGATAACACAGGATAAAAAGTGAGACAAAAAATAATTCAGTCAAATAACACAGAGGGTTGGAAGAGAAGTTGATTAACATGTTAAATTGATAAACTGTTGATACACTCATGTCATTGACAAGTTGTGACAATATTATTAATGGGTTAATCTAATTTTTCAAAGTTTAAACGTTAGCGTTAGGGCAATATGATTCACGCAATATGAAAAGCACACTTTCATTATATAAATATATATATTAAACTGTTTGTGAAATCGACAATAATTCATCACGTAACGATAGTTTAGACTAGAGCGTATTACATCAGATCTGCTGCTATTCAAATATTTTTCCTTTGCAGTAACGTTAAATACACCTGTCATTGTGTACGTTGATCACATAAACAGCAACAAACAAACATGATACATCTAATTAACATCAAATTATATGTAAAATACTTAAAGAACTGTGTCATTTCATGAAAACATATAAATCTGGATCAATTAAATCAGGGATTGTAAATATTAACTCAGAAATTAACAGCTCGAGTTTAAATAGATCGCCTAAGTCGCCAGTTTACTGCTCACTCATGATTCAAGCGAATCACTACAATGGGTGTAACTGAACACAGATCAGTTCTCAACTATTTATTTATAATTTAATACAGAACTCAACTATTAACTCATATTTGAAAGGCTAAACTTACCTGGTTAAGCAGACATGAGAAGCGAGCAGCAGCTGAAGCAGAATCCAGCAACGTCATGGTCAGAATTTACCATGTTATAAAGACGACCGAAATTACTTTATTTGATGCCTGTAAACTGATGTATTTTATCGCCAGGTGGCAGACACACAATTCATGACAAAAATACCACATATACTGTATTTCACACACACACACACACACACACTGTAAAATACTGTAAATTAACTACTCTATATAAACTGTAATTAATTATCTAGTAAAAAAAGACATACTGTTTTTTTTTTGTTAAATAAAAGCAAAACTGAAGAGGCTGATTAAATAAGACAAAATAACAAAACATAAAAATTGTTTTTTTTTAATTTAATGTTTACTTATAATGTAATATATAATGTTTACTGAATTGTTTTATTATTTTATAATTTTTATATGTTCATATTATAATCATTATACTTTAAGAAAAATCATAGGTCTTCGAAAAAAACACCCTATACTATAGTGATCTAAATTATTTATTGACAGAATCAAAAATATCCTATAAAATAGGGAAATTCCATTCAAAAAAAAACACAATCTAATCACAGTCTAATAATTCTAAAAATCTAAATCAGATTCTAAAGACAAAGTGGAAATTTTATAATCCTATATAGGACAAAGTGAAAAATTCAGAATGTCAATTAGAATTTTAGGAATCCTTTAAGATCCAATAGGATCCTAAAGGATAAACTGAAATTCCAATAAGATTTTTTGACAAGGGAAATATTTTAACACAATTTTGAAAAAGATCCTCAATCTTTAATTAGAAAGTTCTATTACACAACTTAAATAACAGCATACACTATGGCTAATTTAATTTTTTTTTGTCTAACAAATGTTTAGATTAAGGGTTTAGATCAACTCCTAATACTGAATGTCTGTGTATGTGAAAAAGTGGAAAACGAGGGAGAAATGTATAAATAAGCTATGACTGCAACAGTAAGTGGCAAAAAAAGCTAAACAAAAAGACTTTTATTTTGGCGCGGCGTGTGATGTCATAAGGCTGCGTCGCTCCTGCACTGTGATACGACTGGAAAGAGGTTTGTTTTGAAGCTTTTACATGAATATAAAGCTATTGAATAAAGTTTCTGGTTTTCACCCGATGCTAAATTATGTACCTCTATCTAACTCTTTTTACAACGTAATACTCCCAGTAATGAGAGCTATTGTTTGAATAAAGCAACAGAAAAGTCTGAGTTATAATGAAAGTTTAATTTATTAAACAGCAGTCATTCTATTATAAGTATACATCACTATATATAAGAAATGGAGTACTAGTTTTGGTAGGGTCATTTGTGGCATTTTGTTTCTTAATCAGACTTACTCTTTTACCTGATTTATTTTTGTTAATTACTCTCGTACAAACAAACTGATAAAGCAAGTGTTGAAGACAGGGATGTACCGACACATCAAAGGCACGGTTCGATTCGGTTCACGGTTTTGGAGCCACGATATGGTTCGGTTTCTGTTTGCTGTGGGGTTAGGGTTGATGTCATGTTAACAGCAATGCTAAGGGACAATAGATTCACTTAATAACAAGAACATCTTAACTTTTTCTTTATTAACTTTGTCATCACATTTTTGGTACAATCAGGATACCTGAGTAAACAACTAAAATTAAATAAATACCTCCAATATAGACTAGTCAGAAAAAAATATTCTCTTTAGTGCAGCCATCTTAATTAAGTAAACTAAAATTAAATAATTGCAGTGTAGACTAGTGAAAGATCTTCTTTAAAAACACCATAATATCCACATTCTCCGATGAGAGGCTGGATCTCTGTGCTGACACAAAAGCTCATTTTTGATTATCTATGGTTTCAGTTAGATATAGGTTTCCGTTTAAATTAATGAAAAAATATACATATAATGTGTTTGTTAAGTGTTTTTACATGACATATTCACCAGTAAAATACATTGCAGTTGTGTCTGAAACTAATGTTAGGGTTGTAGCCGGCTGTATATCTCCCTCCCTCTCCCGCTCATGCCGGTCATTTCTGAAGGTCCGCCTTTTTGACAGCAGATTGGTCAGGAGACCGATCTATCATCATTTGGCGACGCAGTGCCGGAATGTAAAAAGCATGTCAGAAAGAGCGGGAGAGAGCGCTTTTTCCATTGATCTCGTTTTTCGTGTATTTTTCTGACATGATTATGATTTTCTTTGTTTTTGCTTAACTTTCGTTTGGGAAAATTATTTTGCATTACTTTTGCCCACTTTAAGAAATTTTGTGAGGTTTGTACATTTTTATTTCAATTGATTTGTATATTATTTTTTGGCTCCGCTCCTTCCCGACAATATAGCTGTATCTACTCAAGTTCAGTCTTAGTGTAAGGTGGATAGGGAAAATGTCATACGATTTCCATTTTGCAAACACGTAGAAAATGTATTGTTATAGACATCAGGTACGAGGTGAAGGTCATCTTTGTTTATTTTATTCAGTATAGGGAAGAATGCGGCGCACAGCGCTGAAGACCTTTTTTTCCTTTTCATCAGTTTTTAGCGAGGTAAGGGGTTATTCATGAGTTGGAATTGTTTTGTTATATTTATTTCTTTTGTTTGTCTTCACTATCATCCCCTTGCTTGAGTTTAACTAATTTTTATTTGATACTTTTGTTTGAATTTGCTACTTTATTATATTATTTTTATTAGTGTAAATATTTCTCTCTTTTTTGTATACGAATTCTATTCCTGTACTTAACTGGAAAACCAAAATGTTTCCACACAGATGACTTATATGTGTCTGAGGGATCTGCAATCTCAGGACTATGTGAAGCAGCCATCCTGCATCCAGTAGTAACGAGTATGATGCTCACTTAAGTCACATGACATGAAATGCACTAAAATACTAACTTTAGAATATAATATTTAGAACAAAACCTCATCATTACTAAAATAATTTAATCAAATGTGATAATAAAGATGTGTTTAAATTGGTTCAATTAGTTAGAGACAAGTGACGTCAACCTCAACAATGGGCAGCAGAGGGCGTGAGAGTACCCCGGTACGCCCCGAGAGTTTCGCGATACGTATCGTGGTTGGTGTATCATGATATTTCGGTTCGGTTTTGATAGCGTTACACCCCTAGTTGAAGAGAAGTTATTTTGTTTCTGTTCATTGTTTTATTTATTTTAAACAGGACATTTTTATTGTTTTGTTCGTTTTAAACAGGGAAAAGTGTCCAAACACGGAGAAAAACTCCTGCTGAAGCGACTGATCTCCACACTGTTATAAAGATGGCGTTTATTAAAGAGGAGAGTGAAGATGTGAAGATTGAAGAAACATTCACAGTCAAACAGGAAGATCTGCAGGAACAAGCAGGTTGGTTTTCATTCTCAAACACCAACTTCGTTATCTGATCCCCATTCAGATGTATTTTAATAATAAGAATACTAAATTAAATCCATCTTGCAGCCTTGAGTGTGCTGCCTAGTTCTCCTAAACGCACACGAGCACTCAATGAAAGACAGGAATCAGTTTATTTCTTGTTACTTGTTCTTGTGTCTTTTGTCATTCTTTTTATTTAATATTAGTCTCCAATTTCCCATCTCCTTCTTAGGGTTATTGCTTTTCTTGTTCTACTACTGTTTGTAAAGCGTCCTTGAGCACTGGTGCTATATAAAATAAACAAAAACAATAAATTAAAAAAGTTTACCTGAGCTGATGATATTTGCTAATTTTTTTATTATTTTTTCAATGAAAGTTGATGTTTGGAAAAGTGTATGGATATAAGTAAAGCCTGCTTGTTTTTACACAATATTTAAAAACTTTTCCTAAGAAATATCTAAAATATTCTAATTTTTATTATTCATTTATTAGTGTATTATTAAATGTGTTAAAATGTGTCATAATATTTTTTGATAGGGCAAATAAAAAACTTTTCCATCTGTGCCATTTGAAAAATTCCTTAGCCTTTAGCCCTTTATGAGTCTAAAATTTCATTCATAATGGTCTTAAAATGTCATAAAATTCTTACATTTAACTTGGTGAAACCTGCAGAAACCCTGTTTTAAAGTATGTCAAAAAATGTGGATGCCCCCAATATTAAATATGCTGAGTGAAATGGACACTAAAATAATAAATTATTATAAAACAATGTACAGTATTCTACACTTTATGATGTTGTGGGACGACATGAGACAAAACAAACAAATTATAGTGGAACAATAACGCTTAGCTTTGCACTGACTACAACTGGCCAACAAACTAGTCTAAAAATGACTTTTGCTGCTTAAGAAATGGATTACTATGGAGATCCGGAAGGGACGTGATAGGGAAAAACTGGTGGGATAGGAAAACATATTTTAAAGTTTTCTGGCGTTCCTTCGCAAAGATGTTTTTTATTCTCTTGAAAAACTGTTTCTCCACAAACACTTCCTGTTCACTTCATTCATGTCAACCCTTCCGTTTTTTGTCAAAATTTTCCCGTATTTTACCATTCTATCCCACTATCATCCTATCATTAATTATTTCCCCATATTTCTGATATATTTTAAAATTTAAAAGCACCCTGAAATTAATAATAAAATCTCTGCATTCACTTTCTTTACAATAAATCTGTGCGTCAATCGTCGCCTTTCATATGCTACCTTTGAACCAGTGAATGCGTGTATATGCGCCGACTGACAGACGCACTTTGTACGATAAACTAATCCCAGATAAGCTTCTGTAGCTTTTTTTTCTCCCACCCAAATTTTTTTTTTTACTTCCACCATTTTTTTTATTCCACCTACTTTTATTTCTCACCATCACGTCCCGGGTCTCTGTAGATTACAGCATGCTGATGATATGCAAACATTTAAGTGTAAACTTAGTCAGAAATTCTCTGAATATTGACCATATTCATCACATACCAGCAGGCGCCGCTATTGTTATCTTTTTGCCTATAACTTTTCTTTTTTTTTTTTTGGAACCTAAAAACCTTGTTATGCAACTTAGGCATGGGATGATAACCGCTTTCAAGGTATGCCACAGTTTGAAAAAGTCGAGGTTTTAAAACCTTGTATATGTAAGGTTTTGATTGCGCACGTTTACAGTCATACAATGTTAGTTGGACTGAAAGGAGTAAGAAAAAAAAATAACCTAAAAATGGTCAGAATCACAGATATTGTTGACAAAAAATGACACTAGACTTCAGTAGTCTACTTTGTATCTATTCGACACTAAACAGAGCACTGCATGCACTGCAAACTGCGCCAACGACTCGTGTCATCAAAAGCAGGCAACACTACAAACCTGTTTCATAATTTAAAACAATACTATCCTTATGAAGATGCTAAGAAATTACAGACCCAAACAAGTGTTGGTAAACCAGGGCAACTACCCAGCAGAGTCTCATGTGATCATTTTTGAAAGCTGTGCCTTACTAGAAAAAACCCCCCGAAAAGACAGAAAAAAAAAATGACAAAGACAATCTCAAACACATCTCGATGAACAATTGAAACTTGCTCTACAGGCTCCATGATTTAAGGGCATTTGTTACGACATTAATAGGATTTTTTTGCCAGGCTTTCCTTTTTAATATTAAGATATTTGTTTTGAAATCTGTAATACCACTATTGTTCCTCATCGGGCCACAAAGGACATAATCACTGAGGAGAAATCAGATGCTCAAGACATAATCTTTAAAATAATGACATATTAAAAATGCAGCAAATATACGACAGACGTTTACAACAGCAGTGTAATATTATTTAAATCCTTATTTTCTGAGGTGATGTGCTTTAAAACAAGCCCGCTATAGGTAGGCTAATATGCTTTAGCACCAAAACAGTCCATTAAACTATTTTCACGGTTTCATTTTAATTAATTAACTAAGCGCGGTCTGAGCAGCATGAGTTAAAAGTGCACTTGTGTTTTTTATTGATTAAGTGATAGAGGTTGATGTGACATTTAGAATGTAAGCAGAACTAAAAATTGTATTTACAAAGAATACTAATCCTAATTAATCTAGGCTACTTGTCCCTGTTAAAGGTCAGTGAAGTTAAGCTTTATTAATTAAAAAAAGACAAGCCATTCTTGTACGTGACTTTGTTCTTTGTGTGACTGTAATGTAGGCAATAGCTGTGTTTCCATCCAAATATATTAATTAAATTTATGTGCAAAACTGGAATAACGCATAAAAGATATGTGTGAATAAAGCAGTGTTTCCATCCAACGAGCCAAAGAGAACAAAATCATTACTTCCTGATTAAATGGGCACCAAATATCAACAGTAAAGGCAGAATTTACTGCGGTAGAAGCTGCATAATTTTTTTCTATATTTAATAAATGTACTTGCGCCTCAGAAGACAATGCTGACACGCAATGAACCTGTGGAGGCATTTGAAGCAATGAGACGCGGAGAACAGACACTCTTGACATACTCCAGACACTCTGGAGGTCATTAATAATATAATAACATTAATACTGAAACGATTAGGGGGTTTTAGAATGAATGAGCAAAACAGCATTTAGGATGTGATAGTGTGCTCAGCCTGCTGGTTTGTCTATTCCCACAAATTTTTATCATCATATGATCTCTTATAACAAACCTTTTTTTTAAATGTACATACTGTAATTTGTTCAGTTAAAGTGTTTTCATCGTAGTTTATGCGCTTTATATGCGTGTTTTTATGTTTATTTTCTAAAGTTATGTGCATCATGACGTTTCCATCAATCGTTTTTTAGGCGCATCTCTTAAATGAGCATTAAAATAGGTCAGTGGAAACGTAAGGCTAATGCGAGAAATACCGCTTTGTCTTTAAAAAAGGGGAGGAGACTGACAGAAACTCAGAGTTTAGAAAATAAAACCTGCTTCCGACCAGGTTAGGTTCACAGAGCAAGTGACCACTATAACTGACTCTGAGTAAAGGTTACCTCTTTTTCAGAAACAGGTTTGACTCACCCTGCCTTCTCGAGTTTAACAAGCCTACCATTTTGAAACGGAAAACCCAGTGTTTCTCTTATTTCAGGGCTAAAATACTTTGAGTTTTCACTTAACCTCCTTTCTGAAACAGGTTTATCGGTTAAAGAGGTGGTCCACAATGTAATTTTAAGGCTTGGTTGTGTTTATAAGATGCCAAGCAATGTCTGCTTATGTTTCACTTGAAGGAAATCGCGTTATTTTTTTATATATCTCACTTTGATTATACACAGCTACTCAGCTAACATGAAAATGACTGTCATATTTCCTAGTTCCTCTGAAAGGCCCGCCCTTAAGTCACTCTGATTGGTCATCGTTATAATGTGCTGCGATTGGCGAATCGGCTCCACGTCACGCCCGTAAAAACACGCGCTTTTCTGCTGTGTAAACCTTAGTCAACCTCCTGCCTGCTCTCTAAAATAAAATCTGACAAGTGTCTGTAACAAATAAAAATGGGGTGCGGCTCCTTTAATAGGGTTTGCGTATGCGTCTGTGTGTGTTTGTGTAAATGTGTGAATTTTTTGTAACAAGTGCATGTACACCGGACAAGTGCATGTACATCTTTTTCTCTGATGCTCGGATTAAGTTATTTTCTGTAATATATCGTGACAGAAGAATAAAGCACAAGATGTGGGATGCTATGTTTGAGTCTGGATTTATTTTTCTGCTGCTGGCTCTGTATTTTTTTAACTCAACACATAACATGACGGCTTTCACGTGGATCTGGAATATGCAGGTGTAAGTAATATGAATCATCCACATATCTTTTGCGAATTCATTATCTGAGATGTAAAACGCATGGAAAAGCTGCCTGAAGACAATCAGTGCAGCGAATCACACACATAAGAGACACGAACGTGCTGGTGGAGTGTATGTATGTATGTGTGTGTGTGTGTGTGTGTGTGTGTGTGTGTGTGTGTGTGTGTGTGTGTGTGTGTTTACAGCAGTTTGACTGATGAATATGAACTTGTAGCTAAATTGTTTGCCCGCAAAGCAGCATTACCCATTGTTGCATCGTTGCTACAGCATAACGTTAACACTAGTCACTGTACATGTCACGATCAATTTTAACTAATAAAAACACTGACTGGTTATACCTGACAGCTTCTGCTTTAAGGAGATTTTAGCCGAATCCAGCACTGAACTGGGAGAGATTCTGGAGCTCTTTTGTCAAATCATGCTTGCTGTGTATTTTATAATTGTCTGGAAGATAATTAATATTGAACGGAAGGCACTTCTGTGTTTGTGTAGAGTCCTTTGGAAGCCTAAATACAGAAACAGACGAAGCTCTGTGGAAACAGCAGCATTTGAACGCATTTTTAGCTTTATCTGTGCTATAACGTTATAGCGCCTCTGGCCACCTGCTTAGTTTGGATGCGCAGTAACAAACTTTTGTCACAGAGGGCGGAAGTATTTT